CCTTCCCCTCAAATAAACACTGCACCCACATCCAGAGCATCAACACACAAGAAGTGTGTTCTCTTTGATTTGGCTAAAAATATATATTTTTAAATATCTCTGTGAGCTTGAAGGTCACTAAAAGCTTTACCTCTAGCCATTAGCCAGCCCACTGCATCACTCACACACTTACACCAAACACACACACACACACTCATTCATGAGCAAATGTATCAAAGCTCTGTTTTTCTGCTGCATGGCACTAAAATAGCCCCCTCCTACACACTCTGCCATCAGTGCATCATTTCCTGTCTGTACCATCTCTGCAGCTGCCAGACACACACACTTTCACACTTTATCAGTATCGCTTCTGTTGCAATGAAACATGGGCTCATGTCTGAACAGCTTTTTGACAAGTTGTTATCAAATGATCCCCCCACCACACACACACACACACACATAAGACACTTCATGATTTCAGCAGAGCACGACTTCCTGTGCACACACAGGAAAATGCAAATTAATACACATTTCCATGCGCTGCCATTAAACACCAGCAGCTGAGCTGGACTTCCACAGAAAGCGTTGGCATATTTTTAAATGTGGACTTCTAGTCTCTGAAATCAATACTTTAAGTAAAAAAAATACTTAATTTCTGTGATGATAAGTCATATTTACTGACAGACAATTTTGTTACTGTTAAGCTGATTTGCTGAAGATTGTTTTAAATTTAATGGCATGTGCAACAATGAATTTGCCATCAATCTTTAGTTCTATTTATAACCATCTAGGGAACCTGTAACAATAATCTGTTACATAAAGCCAAGTGTTTTCTAGTAATCAAACCCTGTTGTTGATCACCCACCATCCCTGTCACTTTAAAACTGCCTGAGTTTACACTTTGATGCCACTTCCCCAGATGTTTTGTTGTGTAATATTAGAGCTGCGTGTTGCTTCACCTACGCACATCTGCACAGAGCCCAGCCCGCTTCGTCACACGGTTTTTATCAGCCTCCATCACAGGCAGGACCCTGGCGGTAGATGAATGCATGCATCTTGTGACATATCCGGTTCTGTTCTGTTTTTAGCTCTGAGCTGTCACAGCTACACGTCACTGCGACTGCCTGGCCTCTGCACTCTGCATGTTAATCATTCTGTCCTCCCCTCCTCTTGGTCCTGAGAAAACATCTCTGAAAACGGCCTGGTTTTCTATTCTTGCTGAGTTGTTCTTGTGTTTTTAAATGGATCTGCCGTATTGTGCAGTTCACTTTCCTACTTCATGTGTGGATTAATCTGCAGCTAAAAATAATCCCAAACAGTCTACGTCAGGGCTATTCAACTGGCGGCCCTGGGTGAGCTCAGTTCGGCCCATCAATGAGTTAATTTTGACATAAAACTAGATTTTAAACTGTAAAACAAGCTTAATTCATGATAACTGCTGGATGTCTGGCCCCTGAGATCTTGGCTTTCAGTAACTGTGGACCCCTTGAGCAATTTAGTTGAAACCCCCTGGTCTAAGTCTTTGTATGTCTTTGCATAAAGAAAATACCTAACATTAGGAGAAAATAACAGCAATATTGTTAATGTATATTTGTTGTTAACATTTCTGTCTTGACTGAAAAGAAAATTCCAATATTTAGCTTTTTTTTTTAATCATTAGTTCCAACATTATGTAGACATAAACTTGCTAGAGGACATCGTCCAACACTGTAAATACAAAAATGCAGTGTAATAAAAAGTTCATCCATCCATTTTCTTCCACTTATCCGGGGTCGGGTCGCCAGGGTAGCAGCCTAAAAGTAGGGAGGCCCAGACTTCCCTCTTGGTCCAGCTCCTCCGGGGCATCTCCAAGTGTTCCCAGGCCAGAGGTCCCCCCCAGCGTGTCCGGGGTCTTCCTCTGGGTGGGACGTGTCTGGAACACCTCACCAGGGAGGCGTCCATGAGACATCCTAACCAGATGCTCGAGCCACCTCAACTGGCTCCTCTGGACGTGGAGAAGCAGCGGCTCTACTCTGAGTCCCTCTCAGATGATCGAGCTTCTCGCCCTCTCTCAAGGGAGAGCCCAGACACCCTGCGGAGAAAACTCATTTCGGCCACTTGTATCTGTGATCTCGTTCTTTCGGTCACAACTCAAAGCTCATGACCATAGATGAGGGTAGGAACGTAGATCGACCGGTAAATTGAGAGCTTCGCCTTTTGACTCAGCTCTCTCTTCACCACGACAGACCGGTACAGCATCCGCTTCACTACAGACGCTGCCCCTATCCGCCTAATAAAATAAAAAGTTATGAAACAGAATTGATAGAAATGCCGAGTCGAGTGAAATGAAATAATTTGTGCAGCTAACAAGCAAACACTAGTTTGTGTTGTTTTTGAGCTGAAGCACTGGACATCCTGGTGACAGAAAATACTTCAGAAACTGTTGTTTTGTTAAGGCGCACTGAAAAAAAAAAGATTAATTTAATTATTGTCAAAAAAAAAACAGTTTATCCCGCAGGAGATCCTGATTTAAGTCACAGAGGGGCTGTTATCTGAAATCTATGTGTGCATCTGTGTTTGTCTGGAGCCCATGTGCTGTTCAAGGACACGCTGTGGCCATGTGGAACATAATGTACCACTTGTGTTGCACCTGACTGTAAACCTCCTGGAGCTATGAGGGGAGCAGCTCCGGATCTCCTCTGCCTGAGCAGTTAAATGAAATCTATCAGAATCCTGCAGCTTGATAGTAACGGGACTCATCTGGAGGTCCTAGAAGACCAAATAAAGCCGTGTTTAAGGTTGGGATTGTTTCATATCATAACACATTATGATGTAAACATGAGGAGGAGTATGACTAAAGCCCATAACTGTGACAGGACTCAGTTACTCTGCAGATAACAAACTGTTGACTGTGACATCAGAGTGCTCATGAGTAATTATGAGTGTTAAACAGTCCACACATCAGTGTTCCTGTAAGTTCACTCATTTCCTCCACATTTGTTGACGTACAGTTAGTGGCTTTGCTTCAAATCAAACATGTCACTGAAACGACAACCCTTGTTTTTCCTTTGTTTTTATTTTATTTAAAATACCATGGTGCAACTCTTTATCTGTAAAGGTCATCTGAATTCTTACCTCACTGGATGAGTTTTGTTACCTCTTTTGTCATGTCACATCTTTAGTAGACATCCTTGTAAGTACTGGCACCCCAGTACACACCCTGTAGGTACACCCATGAGTACCATTTAACTACCCTAAAATGATCACGTTGGTAACCTGTAATTTTTCCCCAGCTACCCTGTATGAACCTGGTAAGTATCCTGTAAGGACCTTGTATGTACATTTGTAAATAAATACCCTGTAAATACCTTCATAGAAAGTCTGTAATTACACTGCAACTACCTCTATAATGTAAGAACCTTGTTGTTAGTCCATAAGTAGTTTGGTATCCAGAAGGTACCCTGTATTTACATGGTAAGTACCATTTATTTATCTCATTAAGTAAATTTTTATTACCAAATTAGTACCACGTGTGCACTGTTAGTATCAAGTAAGTTGCCCTGTAAGTAACCATGTAGGAACCCTGTAATTACACTATCAATGCCACTTATGTATACCTTTAAAGTACCCAAATAATTACCATCTACACATAAATATTCTGAGTTCTCCACACGTATCTCGAAAGTACCCAAATAAGTACAGTGAAAATACCCTGTAAGTATCTTTATGTACCCTACTATACTGTATCAAAATATCATATTACTGTGTGAAATCTTATTGGGTTTCCATCCCACAAGTCTTTAAATTTAAAAAATGGTATAGGGTTAATTTAGTTTTTAAATATGTTTCAAAAATGTCTGATATTTTTATCCTGAAACAATATCTTTAACAATATGCATGGGAGTTTCTGAAATAAATATATGTTAGACATTTTAGCCTTTCAGGTTTTTATTGCAGCATGTGAGCTGATGAAAAAAATGTTGCAGAGTTCAAAAATCTGCATCAGGGATGATATGGGAGAGGGGCGCGTCATTCCACAAAGTTTGGATTAGATAAGTCGTGGTTTTATTTTTAAATTCTGTATCCGTGTGTAGTTTGTGCCCCAGTTTTTAATCAACTGGTTTCAAGCACGTCGTCCCAGAGGAAAATGTCTGCTCTTCAGATGCTGTTTAAACAACTGGTAAAAGTGTGGAGTATAATATTCACTGCAAGAATGATGAGAAACCAGATTAACCAGATCCAGCTCGCCGCCTGCCAACAGTTTCAGGGTGTAAACTTCTTCAGCAGCTTCCCAACAGGAAGTGATGAAGAGGCCCACAGGCTGTGAACACCACCTGCTTCTGTGCATGTTTTGGCCCCAGCTCCTGCTGGGATGTTGCACAACTTCTTTTTATTTAATATCTCCTAAATAAATCAGTATCGGGTTATAGGAAGTGAATCAGCATTCTGTAATCCCCAGGAAATGGTACGGCATGTTATTATGAGCAGGAGATTAAGTCAGATTGGCACTGGGTTGTACCAACTTCCTCCCTTTAATAAAGGATTGACCTTGTGACTAACCCAACATAACCGCCAGTCTTTGAAACTGGAAATAAGTTGGTATGAACATTTAAAGACGATTAACTGTTAAAACAAACAGACACAAGTTACTGCGATTTCAACAAGTTTATTACAAGTAGTTCACCTTAATGCCACCATACATTTAAAAAGCAGCTTGAGATGTGAGGTAATCTTATTCCACAGGTCAAACATAAACCAGATGAGCTCAGTGAATCAAGTGAAATCACTAAATGTTCAGATCAACAGGCTCCGGGTTGTTGTGTTAAAGCACCATGTGAACAGTTTGTGGGACAGTCCCAGCAGCAGGAAGTGCGTGTCTCTCTTCTCCTTCCTCTTTCAGAGTTTCAGATTTCTGGTGAAGACAGGAAATCCCCAGGAGTTCTGGCTTGTGGTCAGCTTCACTTCTCCAACTGATGATTCACGCGCACGCACACTTTGACTCAGTAGCAGTCACTTGTTTGGACTCACTGAACTGGAGATGAGTCATGGGGAAACAAGAGACAACACAAGCAGTTCCACTGCAGCTTCCTTCCTGCCTGTAGCTCTGTCTGGACGCTTCCCCCTTCCCTTCTTGGCTCCTTGGTACTCACGGTGAGGGGGGGTGGGGGGTCTACGCCAGCCGGGCAGGTGCGCTCAGAGCTTAACCCCGAGGACTCGCACCACCACCTGTAATCCCTGACGCAGGTCAGCTCCTTTGGTGCATCTGTTGATAAGGAGTGGAGGTCACTCCTCCCCAAAAGTTTCTACTGGAGGTCGTTTTGTCCTCCCGTCTCCTCAGAACGCAGGGATCACCTGGTTTAGAGACAAAGTGGTCAGGGAGTCCCCGGCCCCGACGCGACAGCTGCCCAGCTGGGCCGCGTGCCGCTCCTCCCCGGGCTCCAGCCTCGCCCTCTTGCTGGGAAGGAAGTCAGGCGCCGCCGACGCCTTGCCCCGGCGTTTCCTGGACTGCCTTGCTGGGCTCAGGTTCTCCTTGTCCTCGGTGATTTCACTGTCCTCCTCCTCGTTGCCCGGCTCCTCTGAGTCTGAGGCGGTCTCTGCCCCAGTTGTCCTCTGGGGCTCAGGCTCCGACTCACTTGGTTCCTCCGGACTGGAGCTGGTGTCCATGGGCTCCTCCGGAGCGGACTGCGCCCCGCTCGGCGCCTCACTCTCCCGGGAGGAGTGATAGATGTCCCGGGCGGACCTCATGACCAAGGAGAGCAGGAGGCTCCGGTGCAGTCTCAGTCCTCCTCTCTGGGTCCTGGAGGCGTACAGCTTGCTGATCGACACGGCCAAGATCCGTTTGGCTTCGATGTTCACTTCCATGGCTGTTGTGGCACTCATTGTCATTGTTCGATGCGTAATTACGCACGGCACTTCAGGCTCTTTAAGGAAAAATCTTTTCTCCTCCTGTTCTAAATGTTACTTTATTTTCTTTCCCACTTGTTCCTGATAATCTAATCTAATCTCTGCTCTGGCCTCTGCTGTTGACCAGCTGTGCTCTGAGAAATGAGGACGTGAGTAACTGGGCGGTGTTTTATGTCTCCTGTGACGTAAAGTGAACTTCATTCCTCAGTAAGTGGCAAACTGGCGCCGCCTACACCTGCTGTACACACGCACGCGCACACACACATACACACCATCTGTTCCGTCTGACGATTTTTTTTTCTCACATCATTTTGTTGGTTTCTTGTGGTGCCTAAATTTCCCACACGTTTCATTACAGACAAGTTCTCATCCTCATTTTCTGCGAACATGAGACTAAATCAGGGATGTTTTCTCTTTAATCTCACTGGTTTGCTTGTGGCTTTATGGCAACTCGAATCTATCAAAGAAAGTTTGAAACATTAAAAATGTAAGTTTTACTCCAGGAGACGTTGTTTCTAATATTTTTACAAACTCCTCAGAATTTGATTATTAATTAAAAGATGCTGATGTGTTTGGCTTTTTAAAACTTTTCTAAACGGTGTGGAAAAATAAACCAGTTCAGCCTGGTGACATAATGTCTCTCTCTGTTTACATGCTGGTTTAAAAAAAAAAAAAAAAACGAGCAGCAGTTCGAAGAATTTCCGTCTCCAGTTCAGGACTCTCTGCTTCCCTCCTCTATCACACACACAGGCACGCGCTACGTCACTCACACACACACACACATATATACACACACACACACACACAGGCACCTTCCTTATATGGACTATCCGGTAGTAAAAAAAAAAAGTCCTGAGGGAGGGTGCGCGCTCAGTGGAAATGAAAATAGCATTGACGCGAACGCGCAACCGCAGCCCCGCCTCTCTCTCGGCGGCGCGCAGGACTAATGGCGTCATCCGCGCTCCATATTTGGTGATGTCACCGGTGTACCCAAACAGCGGAACAGCAGAGGTCAAACGGCACGAGCCGTTTGGAAAAGAAATAAATAAGGATCGTTAAAATAAATAAATAAATAAAATAAAATAAGAATCCACCACAGTTTGCAGCAAATCACAGCAGCAACATTTTCAATACAAGTGCATGCACATCTGCACGAGGACGAATGCAAAGAAAAAGCTGTTAAATCAATAAGTCAGTCATTCCCTCAACTCCCATCTGAAAATGTATCACATCTTTGATCTGTTTGAAAATGTTTCAATGCAGACTTGTTGTTTCTTCTTCTTCTTTCGGCTGCTCCCTTCTTCAGGGGTCGCCACATTAAAGACTTGATCATTTGATGCACTTCCTGTTCCTGGTGCAACCACAGACCACCGAGCTACCACAGCCCTCTGTGTGGAGCAGAGAGCTGCCATCTAGGGCACCCAGGGGAGCAGATGGTGAGTTAAAGGCCTTGCTCAAGGGTCCAGAGCGGGGCAAACGAGGGTGGAGGCAGGTGTAGGTGTTTCACCTTTCCCTTCCACATTTTGATGTTGCTGGTTCAGGGAGTTGAACCATGTGACCTTCCGATCACGCGCTCACTTTCACGATCATAAAATGTAAAAATTAAAAAGTCTAAAACTGTTACTGTTTTACGTGGGCTTTATACATAATTCTTTATTTCTGAGAGGTAGTTGCAAAAACTAATTTCTTCTGTCTAAAAGTAAATTTGCACTTCTTACCAATGACTACGCAGAGCCTAAACAGAAAAAATAAGTGTTTTGTTGATTCTTTGTTGCAACAAAGCTTATTGACTATGAAGCTTATACTGTTGGGAAGCTTGTTTATATTCCTTAGATGCAGAAATAATTTACATTTATTAGGAAATGGCTAAAAATACTTGCCAAATGTTGGCATATGCCAAGCATCTTATTCAGCCTTGGACTCTTGTTTTGAGTTTCTCATACTCCATGTGCTGACAGCCAGGTGTCTGGTTGAGCACATAGGATCAGCCTGGGTGTACTTTTTGTTCCAAACTCAGTCACATTAGCTGACATACGAAATGTTCATAAAGATTGAGATACCCTCTTACAGCAGAGTGTGAATAAGCTGATGAGCAGCATGAGGGGGAGCTGTTGTGGCTGTGTGTGGTTCTTCCACATGATATTGAGACCAATGCTTGTTAAATGAATTAATTATTAAATTGCCAATATGTATTGTTCTTCTTGTTCAGACTTTAATCAGAGTATGTGCATCAATGTGTGGCATGGAGGCTGCACAGCTGCAGAAATTAAAGCTTGGCAGAGAGTGGTGAAGGCTGCACAGAGTCTCCCTACCATCACAAACATCTACACCTCCAGATGCAGGAAGAGGGCCACCTGCATCGTGAAGGACCCCACTCACCCAGCACACAGGTTTTGCCCCGCCCCCCCCTCAGGAAGGAGGTTGAGAAGCATTAAGTGTAGAACCACTAGACTGAGGAACAGCTTCTACCCTGAAGCTGTTTGACTCGTGAATCCCTAACCAGGAAAATCACAATAATGCCTTTTTAAGTCAGAGTTTCTTTATTGTCATTCGCACCTCATGTGGTACATGTGGTGGAGCGAAATGATGTACACAGGGTCCCAGTTACATCCAACAATAAAATGTAAAATATAAACAGTAATAACATCTAAGATATGAACTAAGAAAAACATCAACTAAATATACACCAAGCACTCATAACATAAAACATTACGTCGAACATCAGCACAAACATGAGTCTGTGTAAGCAGATGAGCACGCATGAACACATCAACATTGAAACAGATCAGCAGCAACATGAAACAGATCAGCAGCAACATGATGTGATTTTTTTCACAGTGATTATTCTGGTTAGAGATTCATGAGTCTAACAGCCTCAGGGTAGAAGCTGTTCCTCAGTCTAGTGGTTCTACACTTAATGCTCCTCAACCTCCTTCCTGAGGGGAGCGGGTCAAAAAGTGTGTGTGCTGCGTGAGTGAGGTCCTTCATGATGCAGGTGGCCCTCTTCCTGCATCTAGGGGTGTAGATGTTTGTGATGGTGTGGAGGGGTGATATGTGACTTATTTGTGCTGCTGATTATCCATGCTGCTGATCTCTTGCCTTTAAACTGCTGTATTCATGTTCGGGCTGCTGTTTTAATGATTTACGTTATTAGTGTTTAACGTATATCTTAGATTTTTAGCATATCATTAGCGTTGGTTTAGCTTATTTCATAGTTTATATCTTAGATCCTTATATTTTGTTTCGTTTTATTTTTTTTATTTTTGTTCATTTTGGGTGTAACTGGGACCTCCATCCATCCATCCATTTTCTTTACCCGCTTATTCCATTTTGGGTCACGGGGGTCGCTGGTGCCCATGTCCAGCAATCACTGTGCGAGGGGCGGGGTACACCCTGGATGGGTCGCAAGTCCATCACAGGGACACATAGAGCCAAACGAGACAAACAACCATTCACTCTCTCACTCACACCTAGGGACAATTTAGAGTTACCAATCAGCCTAACATGCATGTTTTTGGTCTGTGGGAGGAAACCGGAGCACCCGGAGAAAACCCACGCATGCACGGAGAGAACATGCAAACTCCACCCAGAAAGCCCCCTGGACCGGGGTTTGAACCAAGGACCTGCTCGCTGAGAGGCTAACTGGGACCTTTGGTACACAATTTCGTTCCACTTCATGTACCAAATGTGATGCAAATGACAATAAAGAAACTTGAACTTGAACTTGAAATGACACCAAACGAGAGTTAATACCAGAATAAGTTGTTTCTCATTGGCCAAGTTTTTTAATTTTTATTTCATGGCTAACAAATGCATTTTTGTAACAAATTGTGGCACAGTTTAAGGGGAAATAAAAAAAAAGCTTTGCAATAGTGTAAAAGCTGCATAGAAGCATTTTTACAGCAAAGAAATAAACAACCAAACATATTATTTAACATTTTGTGCTGAGTTAGTGTGATGTAACTATTCATTCAATGTGCCCATTATTGTCAGTAAGTCTAGTAATCACTGTCAAGCGAGTGTTGCTGTTAAATCGTAACCATGGAAACACTTCAAACAACTTTTTTCTCTTCTCATATGACAGGAACACAATGTTGAACGTGATCACTGCAATACATTTAAGTGTTTTTCCTTGCGTCTTCCTCTGTTTTTAACTGTTGGGCGTATTAAGGATGTACGTAGTTCAAACTGTAAATAAATAAACAAGTGGTTTGTTTGTTCTTGGTAATAAAGAATTTGCTTCATGCAATTTAAAAAACAAAGATGAAATATTTAACAAAGCATAACAGTTTTCTGGGAGTTAGTGTTGCACCCGGACGGTTGCTATGGTGACAGTGTTGTGCGTGATTATACTTTTATGCTGCCTCCGCCTGAGGCCAAACGAGTGGTAAAGTGTGTGTGCGTGTGTGAATCCACACCAGGGTGGGGCCCAGTTCTTCATCGTGCAACATTTCTCTGTATATTATAAACACTGGTTGGTAGGACTGCGAGCTGACCTACTTACAAGTGCATGTTACGTTACTGGCAGGAACTATGGAGAGGTGACTCAGACGCAAAACTTTTTGTGGACATTTTCAAGAGTGCCAATGCAGCTACTAATTCCAACAACATCATAATCTAAGCTAAAAAAAAAAAAAAAACAAGTACTACATTTAGATCCAGGAACTAGAAAGTGTAATTGGACGCAAGATCAAAAGCAGTATTAAAGCTGCTGCCATTGGCTCATTATGGTCTCTATGGTAACCACATGTGTCTCTCACTCCCTGACTGCCAAGTTAATAAGAAGCAGACAGAAACACCAACTGAACCTAAGTCTCAAACAAGTCGTTGCTGTGTAAACTCTACAGGTTAGATCTGTGAACTGTGACTGACAGAAGACGGCTCACATGAACTTGCATGTGCGTATATTTCATGTAGGTGATATGACAAGTGAAATAGATCCTTCGCATCCAGTTCTGAAGAGATCCTATTGAGCTCAAATATATGTGACGATATATGTGGCAGTATGAACTCTGCATTTTGGGGCACTTGAACTAAAATGTTAAGTGCAGTGAGAGAAAGTAAAAATGAAAAAAGACCAATAAAAGTGCCTGTGTTTTGGTGCAATAATTGTATAAGTAACAACTTGTTGTAGGATTAATAAGTTTGTTTGCAAAATCTTAGAAAACTTTAGACA